GGTTTTTTTTTGTTGGTTTTAGGGTTTATGGCTTAGGTTTAGGGTTTAGGGTTTAGGGTTTAGTCGGGGCAATTTTGGGGTTTCACCCATTCTGGACGAGGTTATGGTGGGTGTAGGGGGGTTTAGGGGACTTGCCAAATACCGATACCGTGTATCGTCTGTGTAGATGCCAAGTTCAGCTGTCATCTCGCTCTGTTGTCTATGCTTGCTTGGGCTTGCGAGAGTCTTCTGAATACAAGGTCGCTTGTACTGTGTTCCAGGGCATTGTGCAGCGACCTTTTCTGCCATAGCGAACCGCATGTGTACACACATGCACGTGCAGGTACGTGAGTTCCTGCATGTGAGATTTGCATATCCGTTCAATAGCCTTTGCCATCACTGGCGCAACCGTCAGTACCATATTCAGTTTTTGTAGCAGGAATAACAACGGTCCAAACCCTAAACCCCAAACCCGAAACCCCTAAACCCTAAAACCCCGGAATAACAACGGTCCAAACCCTAAACCTAAACCCTAAACCCCTAAACCCTAAACCCCTAAACCCTAAACCCTAAACCCTAAACCCTAAACCCCTAAACCCCTACAGCCTAAACCCGAAACCCCTTAACCCTAAAACCCCTTAACCCGAAACCCCTAAACCCTAAACCCTAAACCCCAAACCCGAAACCCCTAAACCCCAAACGCGAAACTCCTAAACCCTAAAACCCCGGAGTAACAACGGTCCAAACCCCAAACCCGAAACCCCTAAACCCTAAACCCTAAACCCCAAACCCGAAACCCCTAAACCCTAAACCCGAAACCCCTAAACCCGAAACCCCAAACCCTAAAGCCCCTTAACGGCTTTTCTGAGGTGCGGCGAGCTTGAGGCGAAACCCAAGGTCAGCCAGTTCTCGGGGTTCAGGGTTGCGCAAGTTCAGGGTTGAGGGTTTCGGGTTTAGGGTTTAGGGTTCAGGGTTTAGGCTTTAGGGTTTAGGGCTCAGGGTTGAGGGTTTCGGGTCCTGTAGGTTGGGTTTAGGGTGTGGGGTTTAGGGCCTAGGGTTTAGGGGTAAGTTCATGGTTGAGGGTTTCGGGTCCTGTAGGTTGGGTTTAGGGTTTCGGGGTTTAGGGTTTAGGGTTTAGGGTTGAGGGTTTCGGGCCTTGTAGGTTGGGAGGCGCAATTTTGTTTGCTCAACAGCTTAGTGCAGATAATCTTACAAATAGCACGCCTACGCGATTTCAAGAAGAGCCATCCTCCCCCCGAAAAACCCTAAATTCGATAGCTCCCGACATCCCTAACCTAAGCCCATAATCAGGAACTTCTGCCCGTGGCTCAGGATGGGTAAGACCCTAAACCCTAAACCCTAAAAGAAAAGCCGCAGGGATGTTTTTTGATCGTGGTCCTCGTAAGGACATCCTCAACTCCACAGGGCTTTAAAAAAAACCCGACCCAAAGCCTCGAGCGCCAGCTGAATGCTTGTCAAGCAAAGCCTATATACTTTAGGGGCCTTTAAGAATCAGAATAGGGTTCTGGGGCGCATTCTACTACAACGGTAATAAGGAGCCCCCCTAAAATGGTATAGGAAGCTATCTAGGCCCCGAGAATTTAGTAGCAATCTGAAAGTTTGACCTTATTTCCCTGGCTTATTGGGGAACTAAAGGACCCTAAACCCAAAACCCAAAACCCCAAACCCTAAACCCACACCCCAACAACCCTAAAGGTGTGTCACAGGCCATGCAAGTCGCAGAATCTTAGGCTAAAGCGCCTGGAAGGCCCTAGGTTTCAGCACTCTGGATTCGGATTCAGGGTTAACGTATGGGTAAAAAAAAGAATAGGGCTTTGGGGGGTTCCTTATTATAATGGCAGTGTGCTATATCTCTCTGGTTTCGGGATCAGGGTTAAGTATTAAGGGTTCAGGGTTAACGTATGGGCAAAACTTAGAGTAGGGCTTGGTGAGCTCCTTCTTGTAATGATCGTATACTAAACTATACCCCATCTGGTTTCGGGTTCAGGGTTAGGGGTTGGAGATGTAGGCTTCAGGTCGTGAGACAGTGGGTTTAGGGTTTAGGGTTTAGGGTTTAGGGTTTAGGGTTTAGGGTTTAGGGTTTAGGGTTTAGGACACACTTTTTGGGACCCTGCATTTTGCGACCAGGGTGGACTTCAACCCTACAGCCCTAAACCCTATGTACCTTGAGCTAAACCCGCAACCCCAAGCCCTAAA